ATACCCAGAAGCCTCCTCCTATGGGACAAGCCCAGAAAGAAACCAACAGAACACCACTGGCCATCACCTACAGTCCTTAGCTAAAATCTTTCCAGCGCATCATCAGTGATCTACAACCCATCCTGGACAATGATCCCTCACTTTCACAGGACTTGGGAGGCAGGCCAGTCCTCTCCCACAGACAACCCGCCAACCTGAAGTATATTCTCACCAGCAACTATACACTGCACCATAATAACTCTAACTCAGGAACCAATCTATGCAACAAATCTCGGTGCCAACTCTGCCCACATATATACACCAGCAACACCATCACAGGACCTAACCAGATCAGCTACACAGTCACTGGTTCATTCTCCTGCACATCTACTAATGTAATATACGCCATCATGTACCAGCAATGCCCCTCTGCTATGTACGTCGGCCAAACTGAACAGTCCCTACGTAAAAGAATAAATGGACACAAATCAGATATTACGAATGGCAATATACAAAAAACTGTAGAACACTTCAATCTCCCTGAACACACAATTGTAGATCTAAAGGTAGCCATCCTGAAGCAAAAAACCTTCGAGACCAGACTTCAAAGAGAAACCGCTGAGCTACAGTTCATCTTCATGTTTGACACAATCAACTAAGGATTAAACAAAGACTGTGAATGGCTAGCTAACTACAAAAGCAGCTTCTCCTCTCTTGGTATTCACACCTCCAGATCAGCTACTAGAAGTGGGCCTCATCCTCCCTGATTGGATTCACTTCCTTATCTCTAGCCTGATTCTGGCCTGCATATTTATAGCTGCCTCTGGAAATTTCCACTACATGCATCTGACGAAGTGGGTCTTTGCCCACAAAAGCCTATGCTCCAACACTTCTCTTAGGGTATGTCTACACTACAATGTTAGTTCGAACTAACGGACGTTAGTTCGAACTAACATTCATAGGCGCTACACTAGCGCTCCGCTAGTTCGAATTTAAATCGAACTAGCGGAGTGCTTAGTTTGAACTAGGAAAACCTCATTTTACAAGGATTAAGCCTAGTTCGAACGTACTAGTTCGAATTAAGGGGTGTGTAGCCCCTTAATTCGAACTAGTGGGAGGCCAGCCCTCCCCAGCTTTCGCTGGTGGCCACTCTGGGCACCACCAGGGAAACTCGTCTGCCCCCCTTCCGGCCCCGGAGCCCTTAAAGGGGCACAGGCTGGCTACGGTGCCCGTGCCAGGTGCAAGCCT